ATAAAATTAAGCAGGGAGAGAGGAATGGACTCAGAGAAAGGGAAAGAGAGAAGTAGAATGGGGTAAATTATCTCACATAAAAGAGGCAAGAAAAAGCTTTTAGAGTGGAGGGGAAGAAAGGGGAGTTGGGGGGAGTGAATGAACCTTACTCTCATTAGAATTGGCTCAAAGGGGGAATAACATATACACTCAATTGGGTATAGAAATCTATCTTACCCTACAGGAAAGTAGGAGGAGAAGGAGATAAGAGAAGGGAGAGGGGTGATAGAAGGCAGGACAGATTGGGGGAGGGGTAGTCAGAAACAAAACACTTTTGAGGAGGGAAAGGGTGAAAGGAGAGAGACAACAGAATAAACAGGGTGGGAAAAATAGGATGGAGGGAGACACATTTAGCAATAGTAACTGTGAAAAAATATTTGAAACAAGTTTCTCTGAAAACCCCTCATCTCTCAAACATATGGAGAACTGAGTCAAATTTATGAAAATGAGAGCCATTCCCCAACTGATAAGTGATCAAAAGATATGAATAGTTTTCAGATGAAGTAATCAAAGCTATCTATTGGAAAAAAATGCTCTAACTCACTATTGATTGGAGAAATGCACATTAAAACAATTCTGAGATACTGCCTCATACCCATTAGATTGGCTAATAGGACAGAAAAAGAAATGACAAGTGTTGGAGATGTAGGAAAAGTGGGACATTAATTCATTGTTGGTAGAGTTGTGAACTGATTCTGTAGAGCAATTGAGAACTATGCCCAAAGGGCTATAAAACCATGCATACCCTTTGCCCTAGCAATAACACTACTAGGTCTGTATCTCAAAAGAAATAAAAAAACAAAAACAAAAAGGAAAAGGACCTACATGTACAAAAGTATTTATGGTAGCTCTTTTCTGGTGGCAAATAATTGGAAATTGAAGGGATGCCTATCAGTTGGGGAATGGCTGAACAAATTGTCCTATGTGATTGGAACTATGTGGTAGGATACTTATTGTGCTATGTAAGACATGATGAGCAGGATGCTCTCAGAGAAACATGTAAAGACTTACATGAGCTGATGCAAAGTGAAATGTACTATGTACAAAGAAACAACAATATTTTAAGATGATCACTGTGAATGACTTAGTTATTCTCAGCAACAAAATGATACAAGACAACTCTGAAGGATTTATGATGAAAAATGCTATCCTTTCCCAAAGAAGAACTGATGGCGTCTGAATACAGATTAAAACATACTTTTTTAAAATTTATTTTTCTTGAGGTTTTTTTTGTTTGTTTTCTTTTACAAGATGACTATTATGGAAATGTTTTGCATGACTACACATGTATAACCTATATTAAATTGCTTCCCTTCTCAATGAGGGGGATAGAAAGGGAGGAAGGGAGAGAATGTGGAAATCAAAGTTTTAAAAATGAATGTTTGAGATTGTTTTTACATGTAACTGGGGGAAAATAAAATACTAAAAGAAAAAAATATTTACCTCCTCTTAACTGCCAGACTTTGAGGGATGGACAGAACCAAGGGTGAAGCCCATCTTTGGGGCTGAAAAAATAACATTCCAGCAACCCAGTCTGCTCTGAATACAGGCATGAATGCAATTGTTAAAATAGAATTTAGCATAAACAAGTAAATCAAGCCAATTACTCTGGTGTTAATTAATGAAGCCCATGTGAGTCTGCCCTGATGAAAGTTTAGAACTCTCTGAGAGAAGCAACGCTTCCATTTTTCTTTAGCCAGGAGGCCCATGCATGTGATAGCTTATGTGTGGGAGTCCAACGCTGATGGATTCCTCATCCATAGAGTGGGTTGGGTCCTGCCACCAGGGTGGTCAGGCCAGTCTGGGTGACATCAACACTATGTACACAACTATATAAATATGAAATAAGGGGGCAGTGAGGTGGTGCAGTGGATAGACCACCAGCCCTGAAGTCAGGAGGACCTCAGTTCAAATCCGGCCTTAGACCAAATACTTGACACTTACTAGCTGTGTGACCCTGGGCAAGTCACTTAACCCCAATTGCCTAAAAAACAAAATACAAATTAAATACAAAGTAATTTTGAGTCAAGAACACTGACAACTAGTAGGATAAGGGAAGACCACGCTGGGGTGCGCTGGAGTCAGCTCTAACCTTCAGGAACCCACTGATTAAATTTCAAATTACACCTCAGAAATCAGCAATCCACAAATTAGGGTTTGATTTATTGTTTTGTTCATTGTCTAGATTTAAGAAAATATTAAAAATGCATATTAAACTTTAAAGTGTATATACATTTTCCCTCCCAGAAAACCAGAATTTGTTAAACATTTACTAGTACATTTCTACATGTAGAAAGTAACACATGAGTTGAAACTGGGAGTCAGGTTCTTCTTCTTTTTTTTTTTGGAAAAAATTTTAGATCTTTAGTTTTATCTTTTGTTCTTATATCACCTTCATTCCTGAACATATCCTCTCCAGTTAATATATCCCTCTACCCAGTGAACCAACCCTTGTAACCGAAAAACAAAGAAACATTTAAAGTAAAGAGAAAGAAGAAAAACAGTACAGCAAAATCAATAAATATATCAACCAAGCCTGTAGTATTGCATACCCATAGTTCCCCACCACTCCAAAGATGGAAGGAAGATGCATTTTCTCATTTCTTTTTTTAATGACACTCTTGGTCATTATATTTGCATAACATTCATGGGTGATTACTGTTCTTTTCATTTACATTGCAGTCACTGTGTATATTGTTTAATTGGTTCTGCCTACTTCATTTTGCATCAGTTTATATGTCTTCCCATATAAGTTTCTCTGTATTCTTCCTACTTATTCCTGAGAATGCAGTAATATTCCATTACATTTATGCACCATAGTTTAACTGCTCTTTGGCTGATGGGCATCTACTTTATTTTCAGTTCTTTGCTGCCACAAAAAAAGTGCATTTATGAGTTCTGGCCTTGGAGTCAGGAGGACCTGAATTCAAATCCTGCCTCAGATACTTGACACTTACTAGCTGTGTGACCTTGGGCAAGTCATTTAACCTCGATTGCCTCACCAGAAAGCAAAAAAAAAAAGTGCCTTTATGAATTTTTTTGTGTATATGGGACTTCCTTGGATCTCTGCACCAAAAGATATAAATGTTTTAGTCATTTTCTCAGCAAAATTCTGAATTACCTCACCAAATGGTTGTAGTAATTTACAGGGAAGACAAACTTTCTGGGAGAGAACATTCAAGGCATGGGGAGTAGTCTGTGCTAGGGTACTGACGTTGAAGATGGAGTGTGGGAGCTTTAGAGAGCAGCAAATAAGATATTTTTAACAATTTCTAACAATTTAACAAGTGAAAATTGGGAGCTACCCAAAGATTATCAGCCTTCTCTCTCTCTCTCTCTGTCCCTCTCTCTCTCTCTGTCCATCTGTCTGTCTGACTCTCTCCCTCCCCTCTTCTTTCTCTCCCCTTCCCAGTGGTAGCCCTGTACTGTTGCCCACACACTCTCACCACCACCACCCATCCCCGCTCCCCACCTTGTTCAACTCAGGGTAAGTTTAGGTGTTATGTATCCCAGTGCAAAATTTTCTAGTTTTAGCTTTGTGACTGATACTCAGGCTGGGGAAGCACCTGAAGGGTGTTGATGGGAGGCCCTTAAACATGCAGCCACTCACACAGTAGAGGGGACTTCCATGAATCCTGAGCCTTGTCTACTCTTCCAGAGATAAAGATCTGGTCCTGACTCACAGGGAGATTTCAGTCCAATTGTAGCTACTCAAAACACACATAATAACTGAGCATGAAGCTCACCGAGTAGAGAAGGGCATGGCATCGTGGGTGAAAAATGAGGGTGAAGACATTATCCATCATTGCTATGAGACCACGCAAGGAGTAATTTGATTATGTTTAGGAAAGCTTCCTGCCAGGACTGAGGCTGCCATATGGGGAGTAAGGGGAGAGGGAAAGCCAGGAGCCCACCCCCAGGACAGGGAGGGCATTCTGGTTAGTCCACCCTCACTGCTACCCCTGTCTCACTAGCACTGTTTGCTTTCTTCTCCCCCCTGGCAATCTCTTCTGAGGTGCTGGCAGAGTAATTGGGCAGCCCCACAGAGCTGGCTGGTCCCAAGGCCAAGGGACATTTAACTCTCTTTCTTTCTTACAGCAATTTTGATTACTCAGTTATGATGGGGGACACGAATCTCTATCCTAAGAACTCCAGCACCTCCCAAGTAATCCCTGTCATGGATATCCTCCTTCATCCAAAGTACAGGCGTCAGACCTTAGTAATTGGTGACATTGCCCTCCTCCGCCTGAACTTCCCTGTGACCTTTACCAAATATGTCCAACCTATCTGTCTACCTCACTCTCTGTTTGATTGGAAGATTGGGACCCAGTGCTGGGTGACAGGATGGGGTGAAATGAGAGAAAGCTATAAAGGTGAGAAAGGTGTGCAGTGATGCCCCTAAGAATTGGGTGAGGCAGTCCTAGAATCAGAGACCTGGGTTTGAATCTTGCCTCAGATACTTATTTGCTGTATGACCTTGGGCAAGTCAATGGATTTTGGGGGGGCCTCTTCTGTAAAATGAGAGAGTTCAGCTTGATCAACTCTAAGGTCTCTTTCAACTCTTAATCTGCAATCTAATGCTCCCACGAATATTTCCCTTTCTCCCCTAGCCCCAGTCAGCCATATAAGGGGCCGTATTATTCTATTCCATCTGTGCAATTATACCATTGAGGCAGCTACTAGTGCCCCAATTGACATGGGATTTTCCAATGAAAGCCTCTATAAAGGCCAGAGGGATGGTGATAACCATGGCCCCGAAGCTCCAAATGACTGCTGTTGGTGTGGGGCACCATATTTATCAGTAGGACTGTCCTATGCCTTCTTACTTTTCCGTTTCTTGGACTTCCCCTATCTCCAGCACCCCGGGGGCCTCTGTACAGAGAGGACTGTGAGGCCTCCAGCACCGCGGGGGCGTTTCCGAATGCCCCCACTAGGGGGCTCTGCAGGGAGGGCGTTGGCGCATGCCCCCACTAGGGGGCTCTGCAGAAAGGCGTTCCGAGGCCAGCAGCTCTGGAGGCCTCCATGGAGAGAGTGCCCCGCGCCTCACAGCCCTGTCACAGCAGAGCTGGGAGGATGCTGGGCCCCCGGGGCGCCCTGCTCCTCCTCCTCCTGACGCTGCTGCTGCCCGTGGGTGAGCTTCCGGATGGTGGGGGGGTGGGGGAGTGTCCTGGGGTGGGGGAGGGGCCTTCCCCTTGTACCCCTAACGGGCCCCGCCCCCTCCTCTCCCCACAGGCTGCACCGCTGAGGAGCTGCAGATGACCCAGGAGGATGAAAAAGGTGCGATGAGGGGCAAGGCCCACCCTCCCCAGCCTTCACTGCCCTGGGGACACCACCCCCACCCCCCAGTCTTCACTGCCCCGGGGCCCCCCACTCCCCCCTTCACTGCCACGCCCCCCCCTTCCCGACCTCACTGCCCTGGGGGGCCCCCACCCCCCA